ACACACACACACACACACACACACACACACACACACACACACACACACACACACACACACACACACACACACACACACACACACACACACACACACACACACACACACACACACACACACACACACACACACACACACACACACACACACACACACACACACACACACACACACACACACACACACACACACACACACACACACACACACACACACACACACACACACACACACACACACACACACACACACACACACACACACACAGAGAGACGCCAACTGAAGGTGTTGACTCTCCAGTGTCACACACCTAACTGGACGAAAGAACTTCCTTTTATAGAGCAGCCAGGCTGATGAGCACAGGCTGGGTGCAATCAGGACAGGTGCTCTCAATGATCGGCTCATTAGAAGCATGGAGGTCATAGGCTACCTCCATCCGTAACAGTAAAGTTAAATAAATATATCTACAAATATATAAACAAATAAGAATAACAAAATAAAAGTAAACAAAAGCTGTTTTCACGTATACACTCCTGAAAATCTCTAGATCATCAATCTGCTCTGGAGATTCTCCTGACCTGGCTTTTCACATGCGCTCCTCACAACGGGTCAGACAGGAGGGGGGTCGGGGGGGCGGGGTCTCCTGAGGTAAGGCGTGACATAAAAGAACAGAATGTGGAAGAAGCAACAGAGTCCGCTACACGACGCTATAATCAGCAGTCACAGGATATAAACGTCACTCCCCCCTCCTATCGGCTCGAGGTGAATTCTCCGGAGAATATCCTGCTGCGTTATCACATCAGTTCACTCGGACTTCCTGTGGACAAAAATACTCTAAACTCCGAGTTAAAAATGTGGTTTTTTGCATTCACACATACAGCTCCACTGGGAAATATCAGGAGTTTTCTGTAAGTGTGAAAGAACGATAACTGTGTTAATCAGGTCGTGGTGATGATCTCTTGTGGCCAAAAAATAACAACAAACTCTTTGAAACATTTACCAGAGAGAGATGACGAAACCTACGATCAAAATGAACGCAGCTCTGCATGCAACACGGTCCCCGTTTAATCTCGATTATCTTGCTTTCATGATCACAGGAAGCCAAAATCATAATTGAAATTGAAATTTGATTAGTCCTCCAGCCCTAATACGGAGTTTTTTTAATACTTTAAATCATTATAGATCCCCCTGTGATGAGTTACGGATTTTCATCATTCTGTGTTTTGGTTAATAAGACGCTTTGTTATCCGTCTTTTACTGGCTTCTCGTAATTGATGATCTTGGTGATCGCTCAAAAACTAATGGAGGTTGAATCACTAACGGAGAGGCACTAACACAGTGAAAAGGTTTTAAACATCTGAGCTCCTCAATCTGTGGAGGGAATGACGCACAAGAGATCCCGTCCAGCTCGCTACTAATAAAGTTCACAAGTCAAGTTTAAAATCTCCTCTGCTTTTCCTCTGATTGAAGATTGGCATTTTTTAATCGACACTTCAAATTCATTCTTTAGATTTGGCTTTAATTCTCTGAATGCTAAAATATGGCAATTAGGCACCTTTATTCCTGAAATATATTACAGAAGGACTCGCTCTAACAGATCAGTAATTTTACTCTTACATTTTCTCTCGGGCTAAAAAAAAAATCTAACTTTCTGTGTTTGTTATTTAAGCTTCTTATAGCCGATGCATGAACAAAGCTTACATTTCCACTTTGATTTTGAACCTTTGAAATGAGACACCAAATTAAAGTTCATACCTGTAATCCCCCCTCTTCCTAATCAAATCCAAAGAGGAAGAGAATAATCACAAGTAGACCTGTCCATTTGTAAGTAGTCATTTCTTCTTCTGTAGCTCAATGTCTCCCTCTGGTGGATAAAAGCAGAACTGATGCTTCATAAGGAAACCAGCCCAACACGATTAAAGAAGAAAATACTTGAATGTTCTTTTGACTGAAGACTGTTGTAATTTAATGTGTATTTAATTCATTTATGATGTGTTACGTACATTTACCTTAAACTTAAAAAGTACAAGAAGACCTTTTTTATTCTCTTTAATCTTTTAGAGATTAGAAGATTGATGTGTTACTTTACTAGACTGGACTGTATTTGAAGGAAACTTAAATGTTTGGTTGCAGAAGGAATGGTTTAGGTTTAGTGGTAGAGTCGGTCGTCTCTCAACAGGAAGGTCGTGGGTTCGATCCCCAGCTCCTGCAGCCACATGTCCAATGTGTCCCTGGGTAAGACGCTTAACCCCAAGTTGCTCCCTTTGTCGGCAGCGTATGAATGTGTATGATTGAGATTTACACTTTACACAGCAGCCTGTCATCAGTGTGTGAATGTGTCGGTGTGTCCTGCAGTGTTAAAAGCACACAGAAGTCAGAAGTCAGAAGACCGTGCTGACGTCAGCGAAAACACAAGAGCGACTCCCTCAAATGACACGTCACAATGGTAGTTTCCAAAATACATTACCATCATGATTTGTTTTATTATCAAAATGCATTACATTTCTTGCTTCTTAAACCTTTTGTAGGGGGGGGACTGAAATAATGATTTCTATGATCTGTGTAAAAATCAAACCAAAACTAACACAGAGAGAGAGAGAGAGAGAGAGAGAGAGAGAGAGAGAGAGAGAGAGAGAGAGAGAGAGAGAGAGAGAGAGAGGGATGGAGAGAGAGAGATAGAGAGGGATGGAGAGAGAGAGATGGAGGGAGAGAGAGACAGAGAGGGAGAGAGATGAAGAGAGAGAAAGAGAGAGAGATGGAGAGAAAGAGGGAGAGAGAGACAGAGAGAGAGATGGAGAGAGATGAAGAGAAAGAGAAGGAGACAGAAAGGAGAGAGAGATGAAGAGAGAGAGAGGGAGAGAGACAGAGAGAGATGGAGAGAGAGAGGGGAGAGAGAGAGGGAGAGAGATGAAGAGAGAGAGAGAGACAGAGAGAGGGAGAGAGAGACAGAGACAGATGGAGAGAGAGAGAGAGGGGGAGAGAGAGAGGGAGAGAGATGAAGAGAGAGAGAGAGACAGAGAGAGGGAGAGAGAGACAGAGAGAGAGAGGGAGAGAGAGACAGAGAGAGATGAAGAGAGCTAGAGAGAGGGGGAGAGAGAGAGAATGCAGCGTCCGGTATTTCGGAGGAATAGACTCACAGATTAGCTTCCAACCTACTGACACGGTCGGTCACTCAGACCCTAAAAACAAAAAGTCATGCGATAAGTTCAGTGTACTATATTTTCTCCATACAAGTCTATATCACATTTCTTTCTGTACAAGTACACAGAGTCATACATGTTTTCCTAGTTTGTCTTTGTAGGTTGTATTTCTTTCATTCTAAGGTGCTGGTTCAGTTTGGGTCACAACTTCAAACATTCATGTAACACGAGGAGAACCCTTCTGTGTGTTATGTCGACTTGGACTTTTGGGGGTTTCTTGGGTCCTGCCTCATGATCGGGGGGGCCCCTCGGTCTTTGAAGTCTTCACACAAATGCGTCTGTTTTTGTTCCCCCCACTTCAAAACAAAAGTTTCATCGGGAGGAGAGAGAGAGGGCGACTCCTGCTGCTGCAGCCGCTGCCGCCGTGCTGCCAGCTTAACATCGTTCTGAGGTCCCAGCGCTGCGCTCAGGGGAGCTGTCTCCTTCTTACAAGTCTGTTTGTGAGGCTCGGGGAGGGGGGAGAGGGGGGGGGTGGGTTCGAAAGGAAAGACCAAAAACAAAATACAGCATTGTGTGGGGGAAAAAGGGAGGCAGCTCTCACAGGAGAACTTAGCAGCTTTTTTGTTTTGTTTTTTTTTCCACACCAACAATCCAAACTCTCCCTCAGAGAGCCCTTCACCTCCTCGGAATGAAAGGATTGGTCAGAAACATAAACACATCTATATTTAAAGACATCCTGCAGACTCATGCATCCCCACCCCTATGATTTCTGATTGGTATGAATTTGGAGGAACAGAAAATATAATGACAAGATGAATGCAGCCGTACGTGGGGAACATAACTGGATTTCAAATTTATTGGAACAGAAAAAAAACAAAAAAACAAGAATGCAGCACCATGAATCATAAGACCTGTATGTCTCAAGTACAATATCAGAAGTCTACAGTGAAGTAGTCCTAATGTGAAAACAAAAACAAGTCCAGTGGGGATGAGAGAACAGAAGAGATCCCAAATCAACAGAATATCTGAACAGACGGAGAACCTCGAAGAAAACCAAACACGGGGCTGTTTTTTCTGTGTCCGCTGTGAGGACACAGAAGCTGGTAATCATATGGAATGATCCTATCGGGGTGGAGAAACCCTCTCCTCCCCCCCTTTCCCCCCCCGCCTCTCTAATGCATCTTTAAAACGGATGATTAACGTGTCGCTTTTGCTTGCATCATCCCCCCTCCCCTCCCCTTTCCAAAATCAAACACTTGTTTACTGCAGCACAGACTCAGCAACGTGCCAAATCAGAAAAAAAAAAAAAAAAATGGAACGCTGACAAAACAAAAATAAAACAACTCTTGCTTTCAGTTACATCTCAGCATTTATCCAACCTGGGTACCATGACAACAGGTACGACTTTTTATAACTTTGTACAGACATTTGTGTGGAAGTTTGTACTTTCCAGACATAATAGAGCCTGTTTGCACAGTCCGGCACATGAGGAAACACTGGGGGGGAAAATTTCAAGTTACATGTGATTTCTTGGGTTTTTTTCAGAGTCCAAATCACTTTTTTTCCACTGATTCTGTAATGACGTCCAGAGTCAACGATCAGTTTTGAGCAGAACGTGGTCATTTTTTTCTTTTTTTTAAAAGTTTTTCTGAAAATAAAGAAGGAAGAGACAGAAAATAAGAAAAGGAGAAATCCGTGAAGAAGTCCTTGCTTCTCTTAGGTCTGTACATTTTCCCCTCCCCAAACTCCCTGAGCCCCATTTCAACGCAGCTTCACGGGGTCGAGGAGGTACACAGCGTCACACACACTCGCGCGCACACACACACCAACACTCATACATACGCACACTCGACAAAGGTCCTAAAAGCTTCCTGACTGTGTCCTTACTCCGGGTCCCTGGAGGGGGGAGTGCTGGAACTGGCTGAGGCTCGTCCCTCTCTGTGGATAGTGTGTCTGTCCAGAGGCCGACAGCAGCCTGGAGCCGGCCTGCAGCGTTGTCTGTCCAGGGCTGCCGGACTTCAGGCTACGTGACCCCTGCGGCTGACTCCCTCTGGAGGCCTGGGCGCCTGAGTCTAGTTTAGTCTGCCCATGAGCCCTGGGTCCCGGGCTGGGAGACCCCACCAGGCCGCCGCTGTTCAAAAGGCTTGCTTTTAAGTGGCTGTTGCTGTAGCCGTGGCTCCCGTCCACGCTACTGCTGCTGCCGCTGTGCTGGTGAAGGGAGCCCCCTGGTGGCCTGGAGTCTGAGGAGGAGGAGGTTGTGGGGTGACTGGGGTAGGAGGGAGGAGGGTGATGGTCCTGGGACATTCCTGGGTGAGACGAGGAGAGGCGCGGATGGAAGCTCTGGCCCGATGAGGGACTGCAGGAACCCCGGAATGGAGAGTTGGAGGTTTGCTGGAGGAATGACGGGCTGTCGGTCTGACGGTGGCTTTCTGATGACTGAACACACACGAACACACACAAACACACACTCGTTTGTGACAATGACACTATTTCTGAGGCTGCATGTTAGGTCACATGTTAACAGCAGGAAGTGACCTGGAAGACATTTGTGATTACATCATGCAAGTATTCATGACGCTGGTCACTTCAGGACTTTTATAACAAAGTGAATAAATATCTGTTTATCTATGTAGCGATTGTTGCCCCATAAAAGATGGAGATTTAAATCATCAGTGCTGTCAGTTACATAACCATTCATTTGTTATTTTTATCTCTGCACTTGTTTTTTTATGGCAGGGTCGACGTGTAAGAAGCAAGTCAACCACAACATGACTGTGATTCTCTTAAACTGACACTTTCAGTCCACAAGGAGACAAATTATCTGCAGAGCTCTCCTCATCACTAAAACAAAAACTCTGTGAGACAAGTGGTGAAGACTGCACAAAATAGTTTCATGTTTAGAATCTGTGCTTCTTGAATGCTCCTTAGCTTGTCATCTGAGCTGCTCCTAACTAAACTTCAGTCTGTTACTTCACTGGATGTAGACGTGACCACAGACAGTGAGAAAGGAGCCATTAATGTTTAAATGTCAGACTCACAGTGGAGGCTCATGGCCGAGTATGAGAGTAAAACATCTGGCTTCAGTAGATCGGATTTTGACTGACAAATGTTTAGACTGCATGGACTAAATACTGAACTAGTGATGAAGGCTAATCGGGAGTTTACCAAGTGTCCTACAATGGAACGGATTATTAACTAGCAGGAGACGATAACAGCAGATGAAAATGTAGGATCCATACTTCACATTTGAATGTTAATGTTAATATTGTAGGTCACGTTGAAAAGAAAACATCCTGCACACAACTCTTGCTAAGCATAACCGAAACGTTGTGATTTTTTTTCTTATGAATCGGTGATGCAGAGCAAGCGGTGTACTTGATTTCTTCTCCCACTTTGTTAGAGAGTTTGATATGCAAACGCCATCTTTAAAATATAGTGGGTCAAAAATTGAATATTTTTCCATCAATTCTAAATTCAAAATGAATATTTGGCCACAATTTAAAGTCAAATGTGAATGCTGCCGAAATGCTTTAAAGACGAGGTCGTTGAAGTTGAGAGAATATTGGATCTTAAAAGCAACACAGAAATAGACACTAAAACAAATATCATTGTCACAAACAAATACTCTGGGGAAAAGATGATAAATGGTTTGTATGGGGTACCTGGTACACAGAGGGACTGTATCTATGAGGACTCTTCATGGGAGAGGCCATGGACGCCGCCGGCATGTCGTATCGATCTGCATCTGGAAGTTGATGCACAACATATTTGAATGATTCTTATTAAGATAGCATACTGTGTTATTCTAGTATTCTATGATGAGGGCTTCATACCAGACTCCTTCTCTGTAGAGCCGTCACCCCTCTTGTAATTACGCTCCATCTTGATGCTTCGTAGCACTCGCTCCAGAACCCCCTGACCTTCCCTGAGACGTTCAACAGTCGTGGGAACCATCCTAGGAAGAGATATGAATAGACAGGTTATCTTCCAGTGAACTGAACATTTTCATAAATATCCTGAATACCATCACCAAGCTTTAAAATATGACTGAATATATCAGTATGTGTTCAAATTTACTTCTTAAAACATTCACTGGGAGATGCACTGAAAGACGCCTGAATATCGTCTTCTGCACTGTCTCAGTTGAGGAACATTATTTTACGCATGTTCTGAAATCCAGCTCTCAAGAGAAGAGGCCTAAATGATCTTTGAGCGAGAACCATTTGGAGCAGGCTTTAGCATGAAACCTCACTGATTAAATAACAATAAAAAATGAAACTACACATCAGATCTGTATCTTAGGTCGAGGATCATGAAAACCCAAAGCACTGAGAATGAATGTGTTCAATGTTAATTTTATTAAAACATGACCAGAAGTTATTTTTAGGAAAATGATGACAGAGTGAAATGTTTATGGATCCATATTAGTACCGGTATTTGATATTGTTGCCTTTGAGTCTGCATCTATTAGGGCAGTTAAATGAATCAGAATGTCATTATTACCCGAGCACATAAAACTCGGGTAATATAAAACCCTTTTTAACTGATGGATATAACGTTCATGCTTTAACAACATTTCCATGCAGCCAGATGAAGCTTTAGGTAGCTATCTAACTGTTCCATGGTGAAGAAAACTAAGACTTTAGGATTCATCTGGATTCAGGAGTGTCATGTTGCAAATCCCACTTCAGATCGTAAAACTGAAAAATGTTATTGGATATTTTTCTAATTTCCTGAAGGCCTACTGTGTAGTTTATAAAGCCATGCATTCTCACACCACTGTAGACTTAACAGTAAGACAGTGAAGGCATCACAGTGTGTATAACTGAGTGTGGACATTTGGATTCAGCCTTGAACTTAGATCATAGTCGGCCTCTCACCACTGGTTGTTGTCCTGGCGTCTGGGCTGCCCTGACGAGCCCTGGTGGTCAGGAGGGCTGACCTCCTCTACCTGTGGGATGGAGGGTGTGTGTGCTGCGGAGCTGAAGGAGGAGCTCTGTGGGGAGGCCAGGGGCTGCATCTGCATCTGCTGATGAGGATGGGTATGTGGATGAGGATGAGGATGAGGATGGGGATGATGGGAGTCCTGGCTGTAGTGGGAGCTGGGCCGGGTGGGGGTGCCGCCCCTAGACGAGCTGTTTCCGATTGGCTCCAGGTCGCGCCCGCTGCCCTGCTTCCTCTTACGGTACTCCAGCAAAGACACCTGCGGCCGCAGAGGGAGAAGGAGTGTTAACGAAGTGGGACTGACACAGTCTGATCTGCAGGTCTGACACACAACTTCATGTCATTCACACCGATGCTGGGCTGCATCATTCACCAAAAAACTTCACTGAGTGATGGGCAGACCGCATGCACCACACCAGAGAGGACTCACCTGGAAACAGCGCTTACACAAACATTCAATATGACAAACCTTCGTTACCACGGAGATAACCTTTAACATGGAAAAAAAAGACACTATGCATCCCTGTTTCATTCCGTTAATCTACTCGAAGAATCCGTCAAACTGTATAAAAAATGTGTGTTCTGAATGTTAGTAACATACAGCAGCTGAAGCGTCGACGACAGAGCAGGCAACTTGAAAATGCACCACGCAATGATGCAACCACGCCGAAATAACAATGACACAAACACAGATATCCACAGAGAGATCGAGCGCACACACACACACACACACACACTCACACACACACCAACATTTTATACACACACCTCCACTATTGACAATGAGAATGAAAGCACTCTTCCTGGTTTAATGCTGGCATGATACAGAAAATATGGAGGATATGAAAGAGGCAGGGGAGCAGGATAATGACAGCAGGTCGTATCCTGACATGGACGGCTCTTTTCTGCATCCTGACATTAAGATTATATTTACAGGAGTAGGCAGAGATCAGCTGTGTTGTCGTCGGGACATTTGTCAGGGTTGGGAAATTACCAAAACCACCAGCCAACAGTTGCCACTCAGGTGTGTAGTGATCCAGTGGGTCTCCTGCTATATTTGCATTGAGGCATTTCTGGGACACATTTGACCTGCGTCTGTAACCAACACCTGGTCAGTTTGTGAAGAGGATGTCATCAACGAAGGGTTTTGCACATTTTTCAAGCAAAAAAAAAAAGTCAAACATTTGGTGGCTCCAGCTTCTTCAAAGTGAAGTGTCATTTGTGATGCTGAATTAAGAGTCCATGGGTTACTGGAAATCTAAAGTAATGATTAGTTGCTTCTCTACATGCTTCAGATATTTATGTGTTATGTTTGTTTCGTCACTTTGAGAACTTCAGGTGGAACTGAAGCTGCAGCTTTGCATCAGAAAAGTCTCTGATGAGTCTCCTCTTTCTGTACCGCTGAAACACAGTTTGAAGGGAAACATTACTGATAATAAAAATCAACGTCTTTGAGAACTAGGGCTGGGAGGTGTCTCACGAGTCGATTTAGAATCTATTTTGGATTCAAAACCATTCTGGATTCATGATTCAAAGTATATTTTTGAATGAGTACATACTTCAGGATCTACTCCAGTCATCTGTGAGACTGGCTGAATTTCTTGTTGCTCTATTTGGCATTCTACTGAGTTAAAGAGCTACCTTTAGCACTTAGCAGGAGGTGACTGATCAGACCAGTTATGAATCTGTTTCAAATCTCAGTAGATAAGGATCTCCATTTTTACATAAATCGATTTTTTCCCCACCTCTATTGAGAACCATAACTATTATTAAACTTGTGAACAGTCTTATTGGCCAACGTGTTGCTTTACATTGTTTCAAGCAGAAACAACAATTATAAGAGTTCGTCCAAAACTGTATTTTATTGATTGTGTAGATGTAATGTGGGCACATGAGAGATGACCTGTATGATTTACAATAGGTTCATCTTTATCTTCTTGATTTGTACTTTGCCTGTTATTGAGTTGTTATCATTACTGTTGTTAATTATTATTGCTGTGTTTGTCTTTTTCTGTTCTGCCTTGATCTTTGAATAATGTCATATATGTGGATTTTAGTTTTTGTTTGGTCGAGTGGAGCCCAGGAAGAGTAGATGCTACTTAGGGAGTGGGGATCCAAATAAAGAAATGCAGGCAGGTAGACGGGCAGGTGGACAGTCTAAAGGGTCAGACGAGTTCAGAATATAAAGATTAGAGAGGCTTAATACAAGCGTTTAAAAGCCGTAGATTCAGTTGTTTTTCTTCTTGAGTTTTTGATTTACTGACTACTACTAGGACGACTAGAGTTGAAGAAATTCGACAGATTTAATAAATGTTATTTCCAAAAAATTGTCTACTCTTATAGAGAAATATATACTTATATTTATACTAGAAATGTTCATAATGAGTTCTGGGCTAAAATTGCTGCCTGTAAAAAAATCACATCTATTTCATGATCAACTCTTTAATTCTGCCCTTACATTTGGGTTAATGTGTGATATAGCTAAAGTCCCATGTTGTAGCGGAGCTTGTCATTAAATTAGCAGGCAGAGACTGATGAATCCTGCTTCTAGGAAAACCTCCAAAACCTCCAGGAAGCCTTCATTTGCCACATCCTTTAGTCACCTTTTCTAATGTTCAACATTAGGAAGTTTTAGCCCTGCTTCCAGTAGACATGGATGATCACGGTTTGAAAACGAGCCATGGATGAGATGGAGCAAAGACACACATGGCTTCATCTCACGACCATCATGAGAATTCATGAACCATTGGCCTCTTGTGCTGAAGGCAATGGATGAACCTTTAACACTCTTTGATGAGTTTGACTGAAATGGCATAAAGGTAACTTGGAATTGCTGCGTCATAATTTGATGTAGGTACGTGGGAGAGGAGGGGGGGGCGGAGCCGTCGGTGCATGGCGTGGGTGTTGTATGCAGATGCAGAGAAACAATATTTACATGCACACTTCTAAAGATGTAGTTGTAGGGAGAATATTCACCATATTTTGTACTGGCTTGTATTCACTTCTTACAGCTATAGCCTGGTAATCTGGCTTCCCTGTCAGCAGACTAATGGTATGCTGGTTGGCCCTCTGCCTTGGAAGAAAAGTGGAAGAGAGACTTGGCAAAAAGTTTCAAGGAGCAACGACTGAAGGAGAGGAGGAGGGGAGAGGGAAGGAGGAGGAGGAGGAGGAGGAAGAGGAGGAGGAGGAGGAGGAGGAGGAATGGTCAAAGCTATAAAGTGGAAATCATCAGGTATACACAGAAAATGGTTAAATCGGTTTTTAAATGCTTGTCGCTTTTGGATTTGACCAGCCGACACAAAAGACCAATCATATATTTCAGACAAAGGTCAAAGACAGAGCAAGGGAAGAAGCACATCATGAAGTTTGGCTTATCAGTTTGCACAAAGCACACTGGCTGAGAGAACAGATACAACGCTTCAACATTTACCTGAAAACCGTTCAGATTATCACGCAAATTAAGACGAGGAGAACTTGCCTTCTTCTTTTGTGGCGGGTTGCTGGTGTGAGGAGGCGTGCCACTATCCGGGTAGCCTCCCCCGTAATGAGGCTCGCCGTAGGGTGACATGGAGCCAGGGCCCACGTCTCCCATAAGCCCCTGGCCACTTATAGAGCTGTGGAAGGACTCCGCCGGGGAAAAGCCTCCCTCCGACTGTGAGAGGCGGCGGTCTGTGGCAACAGGGTTTCCCAGGTTTGCGTTGAGGGGCGAGCAGGTGTATATGAGGTTGAACTCTGTCCTGAAGGCCTGCTCCCTGTTTTGAGGGTTGAGGTCCGATGAGGGGCAGGACACTGGGTTTAGGGAACTGGCCCCTAGAGAAGACGAATCGTGGCCTGAGGGGGCGCCGGGAAGGGAAAAATCGTCTAAGGTCACAGCCACGGGACTCTCCAGGCTGCAGGGGAGGGACAGGTCGGGGAACTGGGGCCGAGGGACATCAAAGTCCGTCTGCAGACACGGCTGAATAAAACACAAGAGGGAGAGGAAAACATTAAAAAGCCATATTTTGAATTGAAGGCATTGAACTGTTTGCATTAAGCGTCAATGAGAGAAGAAGAGAGATGTAAACAAACCTCAGGAGAGATGGACTCTGGTCGATGGACTGGAGACGCCTCAGGGGATGATATGTTCTAAACAGACGAGCGAAGGAGATTAGAAAACTATATTCAGACAACCTGCACAGGCGAATTAAAAGCCAATTGGGTTCATTAAAGTCTAAACATTCATAACAAAGACTTTAATCCAAAACAGATTTAATGATGTCAATCCTTAAAGGTTAATCCGCATACAAACAGTAGTGTATCCTCATAATTAAGAATGTGCCCTAGATATACTTCCATATAATTATAAACAGTAAATATACCCAAAGGGACTCGAGTCTCTTAGATACACGGTTAGCGCAGCAGCAACCTCTCGCCAACTGGCTACAAGAGAAAAGACCACTCCCCCTTCTTGCAGACTTTTAAGAAGTGTGCGAATATTTAGGTTTTTAGTACTCACAGGATGAATCAGCCCACCTAACAGTTTGATTTATCAAAACGAGCTAATCCAATACTCAAAGTTATGATTCAAATTGTACTTATTGCACCCCCAGGTTATATACAATTAACTCATTATAAGTTGGAAAAGGTAATGTAGGACAGCTGTTTCAGTTCAATGTTCTTTGGATTTGGCAACACTATTGATGTCTGAGAGAGGAATTTAGAGGTTCTGTTTAAAAATAGTAATGGATAGTTTTTAATTCAGAGGGACAGAAAAGCCAGCACGCTAAATGACCAGTATGCTGATGAAGTCCTAGTGCTGGAACGCGTCCGTTGTTGATCTGTACGCTGCTGCTCTACGCGGATAAAACAAACTTTGAAGGACATTTAGCTGCTAACTTTTCAGTCTCTTTTCAGTCTTGTTGCGGTCTTGCATCTGAAATATTGTATTACGGTTGAGTGTGCTCAGTATTTTTTAATTCATGTGAGCTCAGCGACGTTATTTGTATATCTTGGGAGTTAATTAGGATGGACGCCTCACCTCAAATTGCAGCGGTGTGTTGCAGCGGCTGGCGGGCAGGGAGGGCATGGGTGAGTAGACCAGGCCGTTTGGCAGCAGGGAGCCACAGGGGGTTTGGAGCAGCCGGTGGAGGGAGTCGTCTGGGAGCGGCGGTGTGATGGGTGACAGCGGGCGAAGCAGGTGGTCCAGCGGTGCTGGTGTCATCTCTGATATATACTTGGAACGGCGCTTCTTGAAAGGTGCGTTAACCTCTGTGATTTGAGAAAAATAAAGAGGGGTAAAGCATCAACAGGAAAAAAAAAATATTTTCTTGATTGTAATGACATCACCCTATGTAGTATTGTGGATCTTAGTCAGAGATCTTTTTCTTTTCAACTTTTAATTTTCTTTTTACACCACGTCTTGCTTCAGAAGACCCCACCCCGCCCTGTCTGACGGAATAGTGTACCCCTTTGAGGTGCATGTGTGAGCGACCAGATGAGGAGGATTTCAGGAGCAGTCTTGCTAAAATCTTCACGTGAAAACAGATTAAGATGGACAGAGGTGGGGATGTACATACCAGTGGAGAGGGGGTTGGGGGTGGATCTGCTACTGGTGCTTTGCTGGGAGGAGGTTGACTCTGTGCCGTCCTCCACACTCGCTGAGCAGCTCTCATCCTCCAGCTGTTTCAACCATCTCTGCATGAGACAACAGCGATGTTAGAAACAAACAGTAAACACAAGACGGACCAAGAACAGTAAAATGTATCTTTATTAAACGGAGCACAACAACTATGAAAGTCCATTTTTACAAAAGAAGAAACGTTTGTAGAATGATGTTGTAATGAACTGTCATGCTTTGATACATCCAATTGTATTTCAGACATTTTTAAGATTTCGGACAACTTTTTTAAGGGCGTGCAGACGGACTTGTCACACGTATAAAAATGTACCATATTTCTCTAAAGGCCTGTTAGTAACACCTTCCTGCATCTCTCACCTTTTTAAAGCAGCCATAAGTGCCGTCCATTTGGAGCGGGCGCGGCCGGCTTCTCTCAGGGTTGAAGGGGGAGCCGAAGCGAACGTAGTGTCTGGGTGTGGTGCAGATGAGCGATGAGTGGGAGAGGCCTGGCAGCATGTTGAGGGTGGTGGCCAGCACTGTGGGGTCGGTGGTTATCCGCAGCGTGCGCTCAACGGGCATCTCTTGGTGGATCTTGTCCCCTGCAGGTATCTTGTCATTCAACCATTCGGTCACCAGGTACTGAGAGCAGAAATAAATACACATCATCAGCTCTGAATTCACACAGCTACACAACAAGACGAATAATGTCCACAAAGTCTTACGGCCTCCTACCTTCTTTGTCTTGGGGTAGCGCAAATTGCCTCTATTAATACAGTTCAGACCCTGACCATCTCCATCAAGGAGATGACCTAAACTGTTTTCTTGTTCAGCACCGTATGGGCCCTGAGATCCCTCTTCATCCAGAGCAGCACCCTGATCACCCGACGACGGTGTGGCTGCCATTGCGGCGGCCTGCTGTGCGAGGGCTTGACGCTGCCGCCGGGCACGCTGGGACGAGCTGGACCGGTAGCGGGAGATGCGACTTTTGGGCCGGGGCTTGGTTGGTCGTGCAGGTTTAGGGGGAGCAGCTGGGGCGGTCAGGTTGTTTAATGAAGTCTTTTCTTCATTGGATGGTGGGTCCTGTGATTGAAGGTTTCAATTACATATATTAGAAAATCATGGATGAAATAAAGATCAACAGATAGTTCGATTTGATTTTCCACACTGACCATTACGTAGGTGGCGCGTCGCGTGCTGATCCCTACTCCGGCGTTGCTGGGTGTGGCGGTGTTCCCTGCGGGGTTTCCTGCCCCGTCCTCAGTTTCCACACCCTCCTCCTTTGCGTCTGCTCCTCCCACTCTCCTCCGCCGTCTCTCCAGGCGTTACATGTCTACATTAAGTCAGAGACAAAAGAGGGGATGAAATATCTGAAACATTTACTTCACAGTTTGTTTTGTTTATTGCTGGTACTGGAATCGATGATTACGTTGAACAAATATCAAAAACATTTTACTTTTTTATTGGAGATTGCGACCCCGTTTTCATCTATCTCTCCTTCCTCTCCATCTTCCCCCTTCACCTCGTCCAGCAGTCTCTCCTAATAGTAAAGAAAAGCAACATGTTAGGAGATAAAATCCAAGCACCGACGGCTGTCTGGTAGAAACTTCTTTTTTAAAACACTCCCAGTTTTTAGAATGCTTCATGATCTCTTGTTTTTGGGGTTGAATGAAGCTGAATGCCTTTTTTAGACTTTATTATGTGTAACCATTTTTCACACAGACCTCTGCATCACTGGTCCCGATGCTGTCTTTGGCCTCCTGGATCTGGTCCGGGGTCTGGTTGCTGTCCCCAGAAGTGCTGCCTTCCAGCTCTCTCCTCCGGGCTTTTCTCCGTCGGGTTTCAGCGCCGACCAGAGAGGAGGGAGGCGGCAGGGAGGGCGGACTCAGCAAGCTCTCCCTTGGCTTCAGGTTGTGCTTTTGCACCGGGCAGTTCTGGTTGCCCTTGTGGCAGGCACAGTCCACTTTGTAATTACTGGTAGTTTGTGATGAGAGAGGAGAAGATTAGACTGGAGAACATGACATACCGCTAAAAATATGCTTTCACCCAAACAAGTGATTTGTTTAAGGGCAGGTGGAAAATATCGAGCTTTACTCACCAGCTATTGAACTCGTAGTCAAATCCAATGGTGACCTCGGCGTCCTTTGTAATTTGACTCACAGCATAGATACATAGATGGATCATGCCCTCAGCAATCATATGCCGGACCTTTTGAAGGAAACACACGCCGTAGATATCTTAAGTTTGATTAAAGAACCCTTAAGTTCAAAGTGGACAAACAACTCAAAACAACAGAAAGGAAACACAACTGACAAACATGAAGCTTTGTGTCTGACCTCAGCATTGGGTGTACACGACCTCCTGATGAAGCGAGCATCGTTTCCAAACGTCCTCGCATCAACACACATCTCAACATCATTAAACTTTGAGTAAAACAGCACAAATGGGTAGGGTCTGGAGAGGAAAGAGGACACATGGTATGAAAAACCAGTAAAACAAATTCCACAACAGTGGAGTCTTTGTGGGTGTAACTCACGGAAAATAGAAAACCATGATGTCTTACTTTTTGAAGAAGTGCCCGTTGACTTCAAACTGCTGCTTGAGCATGACTTTCCCCCGATACTCGATGATGAGCGTGTCTGGCTCCAGCGTTTTGGCGGCTCGGAGGATCTTCCGGTGTTTCTGCACCCGTGTTACCCGCCCCAACTGGAGCTACAAACAGCAGATACTACATTACTCATTTGCAAATGCGGACAGAGCTCAAACATGGTATATTAAGGGTTATTTCAAGTGTAGAAATGCTAAATTTCCAATTTTAGCCACAGTAAGATGCTCTTCTTGAAGCATTAGATTCTTTATGCCACCAAACTCTACAGACAAAAAGAGTAATTTTACGCTGCAGACCACAGGAGGCTCAACTCTATCTCTTCCTCAAATGGTTATATTTGGGAGCTCTACATTATTTATGTAATTTGCGATCTGTTTTAGATCCCCAAAGTCACACAACAACACAGACAAAACAACTCATTGAGGAAGACAGAGACGTACGCAGTCCTGTGTTGATGTGAAGTAAAAGCACGGAAGCAGGTGGCTTTGAAGAGAGAGCTGTTATGGCTGTTGCTCGTAAAAACAAATAAAGCCTTTAACAATAATACAACGGTCCATCTCTGTAGGGATAATTGTTGTAATGTTGTCAGAAGGTTTTAATAAGAATGTGAGACAAAGCGTGTTTACTGAGTGTTAGTTAATCGGTCACATTCACTGGTTCAGATTACGTCGCAGCCCTTAAAGATTGTCTTGCTGTTGCTGGCAGAAGCAATCTATCGGAGCAATTCCTGAACTGTTTGAACCTATTAGTCATTGAGGCCCTCATGTGTGTAAAAATGGGACCAAGATTTAAACAGGCGGGAATTTCCCCTTTGAGACAGAAAAATGTGCCAGGGCTTTTTTTTTTTTTTTTTTTTTTTTGAAAAACGAGCAAACACGTTGTGATCTTGCTAAATTTGGTCTTTTTTTTGGATGGCGAGCTCTCTTGTTCTTTTTTGATTAGGCAGACATGGGAGTAAGTCACACATGTCCAAGTCACAAGCAAGTGTCAACCTTTAAGTCTCAAGCAAGTCACTGCAGTAAGAATCAAGCCAGTCAGGTCAAGTCATACTAAATTCTTAGATTACTAATTGGCTTCATTATTACTGGCTAATCTCATTGCATCCTTTGTGAAAGTAGTTGAGTTAATGTACCGTTTGGTGTCAAAGTGCACGTATGGGACTGACCTGCATCTGTGAGCCCAGCACTGTGTTATTACAGGCCAGCTCCGTGAGGTTAATGGTGTCCATGGTGTCCACAGAGGCGTGGATCTGTGTGTTGGAGGGAGGTGGTGTGGCACCGCTCTCAGTCTTTGAAACGGTGTTGCTGGCAGTACGATGAAGCTGGAGAAGTGTCTGGACATCGGCACTGTACTGGTTTGCCAGAGCCTCCTCATACTGGTCCGTCCACTGGCGGATCTTCGTCTCCCACCCCTCTGCCGTGTTCTCGTCTAAAACACTGGCTTCGGTTGTCGAGTTCTGAACGAAGAAAGGGGGGAAGCATGAGCTAACAGAAATGCTAAACGTCAGTGTCAAATATGTCAGATTGACTTGGATATATTACCTTCATCCTCATGGACTTCCTTGAACCCTCTCTGAAAGCCTGAAATAGAGAAAATGAAACCATATTGAGACACAGCAGCAACTATTTTACAATCGAAACCAAATTGAGGAAGTCATCATGTGGGCAGCTTGTAAGAGTTCCTTAATGGGCTTTCCAGAAGCATTCAACAATTTCTTGACTGATGCTAATCCGCAGTTCTTACAGTATCATTACCTTGACTTTCTTGCCCTTTGGCGTTCCACGGGCCTTCTCCGTGCTCTTCTTCCTCTTTTTGGATTTGCTCCTCTTCACCCTGTTGACAGTCAGTTTGATGCTGGTGGGCGTATGCTGGGTGGCCGTGTAGGAGATGGTGGAGGGGGATACCTCCTCGTCACCACTCTCAGTGGCACTGCTCTCTCCAGCTGCAATAAAATAAAGTCATCATCAGACATGATGGGAAAATAGGTTCTCCTTTTACATAGCAACGAATATCGCATTATATGAATTTACATCAAAACAAGCAAACAAAAGAGAGGAGAAGGACAGTGTACCTGAGACATTTTCTGTTTTTCTGTGTTGGCCTTCTCCTCCTTTCCTCCTATCCAGACCGCTGCAAAAAAAAAAAAAAACACAAACACACTTTAGGACACGATGCAAAAGAACCATAAGTCATGTGCAAGAGTTATAGATGGCCAACAGTTTTGAAAAGTAACCATAAAGATTAAGTAAGGCTGTGTCAGAAGCTTTACACCAAAAAGACAGCAGAAACATTTGGTCCAATAATAATAATAATAATATATTATCAAAGTGTGTTCCTACAGGACATTCATCTTTCTGTTTGCAAAAATATTTATTCCAAACTGCAAAAGTTGCTGATTTAGGAAAAACAACAATAACATATATATATATATTTACATAACAATATGTGGTAAACAGTTACTTTTTTGTGTTTCTGCACAATCAGGAATCATTATTACAGAAAGGAAAGCCTGTGCTTTAACTCAAACCAGGACAGAATTAGAGATGGGACGGATCCGATCTAATATCGGCATCGGGTCCAATATTGACGTAATTTACGCATCGGAAATTGGACCGACTGTGCCGATCCACATCACTGATTTAGAAGGATTAAACATTCTTGGCTCGTACAGTCTCACTTTAAAAGACGTTCAGACTGAACTGTAAGAAGTGTTCACAAATCGTCTCCATGACGACGTCACGACGAGATGGAGCAGCTGCTTCTTTATAAAAAGTACAATTCTTCCACTTCAGTTTAAAAGATTTATTTTGAAAAGTTTACAGTTGTTGCTGCTTCCTGTTTGCATGTGAAGCCAGCGAAGGTTCAAACTAATACATTTGGAATCATTTCAATTATGTCGCCTTACACATAATAACAAACAAAACAAAATAACAGCAACAGAATCGGATCGGAACGGAATGTTATTCATATTTAAAGAAGAGCATTGCGTTCACATTAGAATAAAATCGGCTCTGTTTTGTTCTGACTTAACGAGATAATTCGCTTTGAACTGAGACTTGTGTTTTTCTGATTTTTTCTCCTGTGAATGTAAAACTTTCCCGTCATTTCCTCAACTGCACGTAAAAAAACAGCGGCTGTAACTTCTTCTCCAGCTTCCTGACCGGGCTGGTTTCCCATCTCTCACCTGCAGTTGTCACATTTGATGAGCAGGCCGTCCGGCGTCAGGCTGCAGTGACACCAGCTGGCCACAGCCCCGTCCTCGTCTGAGGAACTGTCGCTGTCGACTGAGTTGTCCTCAGTAGTGTCGTGGTAGCGTGAGCCGCGTACCACGCCGTTGAGATCCATGCGGGGAATGATGGTTTGGGAGAGCGGGGAGGCGGTGGGTAGGGGGAGGGGGCGCGCCATAGTTGTGATCCTGACAACACACAACGGAAGACTGTTGCATCTTCAAACAACGGGTGTTCAGGCAAAAAGGGAAACGGAAAATAGAGACGAATGAAAATGAGGGCAAAAAAAACAGGTATGTGAAACAGTACAGCTGTTAATAACAGAAGTAGATCGTGGTTACAGAAGACTAATAGCAGGATAGACATTCATGTTCTCAATCAAACTAGAGGCAAACCCAATCCTTACTCTTACTGCTCTAATCTAACAGAACAAGCAACAAAAAGATTAGGAAACAAGACAAGATTGGTCCATTACACCCAGTTATTTAGTGTAGCTTTGACTGAATGAAGCTACTCTTTAAAAAAAAAAAAAAAAAAAGGAAAGTTACACCAATTTCATACAATAAGACATGCTATGATTAGAACTGGCAATTAGATAAGAGCTCGTTTGAACTCACAGCATATGGTAGTCCCCGATACCCATGACTCTGTGCGCTCCCACAGCTGTGGTTGTTGTAGTTTTTCTCATTCACGGCAGGGCTTGCTTCAACTGACTCAGGGCTGCAAAAATAACACACAAAATATATTGTTTAAGAAATAAAAGTAAACAGGAATGATGAGAGGATGCAGCAGCAATGTGCCGTTATGCTTTTTATAATCGGCTTACATCAAGAAGCTTAATTGACATGATCTTAAAACATGTTGCCAAAGCATATCCACGCTGATTATGACTCAAGGGTATGTGTATAAAAGTAAAAAGTTGGTCTAGTCACTCATCAGTCACTAGATGGCACCAAAACCCTGAAGTTGATCTCAAGCGTCGAGAGATGCCGTTTAGGAAATGGAATGCAGGCCGCCATTATGTTATGCAACTCCCTTTCTGCCCTTTAAAGTCTGGCCAGACATTATCGAAACAACCTTGTCTTCACCTCACCATCCCTGAACTCTCCAAAGTTATTCAATCAGCTTTACGATTTACAAAGAATCAAAATGCCAAATGCCGCGACACAACACGACATGGATCTGTGTGTGTGTTGTGTAACAAAGCAGAGATGGCTTATTCTCCTGTGTTTCAGAAACAATCCCCCTGACAGAAGTTGGGAGGAAACTAAAAGGGGGCCTTTAATGGGGTGGACGAGAGAGAGAGAAAGAGAGAGAGAGAGAGAAAGAGAGAGAGAGAGAAAGAGAGAGAGAGAGAGAGAGAGAGAGAGACCAATGCAATCCACATAAGCTCAGTCACATAAGAAGGCTTACTGTCAGCAACTGTTCTTACTAAGGGCTGTCTTTGGAGCCTTCTTTATACAAACAGAGCCTGATGTGGGGAAAGAACTAATGATTACAAGACTTCTGAAACTGTAATTAAAACTACAGAAACTCACTATTAAAGTGACTATTAAAGGCTGCATAATCAGCCAGTTATTCACCATTCTGATATCCTTAAATAAGGAAGTGATAGTTTAAAATAAGGTCACACAAAAGTATTAAGAAATCCTCTGGTAATAATTGTAGTTTTACGTAAGAACTGGCATTCAGGCAGACAACAGAATATTTCTGCTGTTTGAAGTTTCATGTCATGCCACTGCCTCTTTTAACTGTAATACCAAACAAGATGAAGGATTTAAGTGAGCTAAAGTAAGCAGCAGTTTGACCTGTGGACCTGCAATCCCGTTCAGAGGAGCGCGTCAGAGGGACACTGATTTTTTATATGAAACTGCTTCGTTTGGTTCACAACCAGTTTTTATTAAAGGGTCCCTTTTGTTCTTTTTGAGGGGAGGGAACGACCATTGAGCAGGGTTAGTTTACAGCGAGCCCTGCGATAAGTCCCACATTGCCCTCTGTGTTCAATGACGCAGCTAAAAACAAAATCATCAGACAATCGACTGATGATACTGGAGCTAACTGGGGTCTCCTCATCTGACGTTTTTAAAATCAACAACTTCCAGTGGAAAGCTTTAATAAAGGTCAATAAAGTGAGGATATTCTACTCTTCATGGTGATTTTAGAGGACATATTAATACGGACCCTTAAGAGTGTGAAGGGGTTCTGCTGAGCATGACATAATGCCTAACAAAAGATATTATTTTATATCATCAGCCTAATGCAAGGATCAGTGATAGACTGCTTCTTTTCTGAGAAGCCCACGGACGTCCTCAACACCCATTAGAGGTGATCGAAAGGTAATCAACGATAGAAAGGAAAAGGAAATGTCCCAGCACTCATTAGCACAGTTCTGCCATCGCTTACATTCGGCTATTGATCAGAACATTTTTCCACCAACCCGACGGCTTAGATCTGATGGTGCGGCAACCAGAGGAGAGTTCACGAGGCAAGTAATGAATGCAGCCAGACAATAACTTAAACATGGATGAATCCCCGGTTTAACCAGATTACCTACAAACATGAAAACGACAGTGATCACACGTTATATCAACCCCTAAGATACAGAAGGGGAAAGAGCCTGCCAGTGCTTCCACTAATCTTTTTATCTGTGTTCTCTTTTTTGGGATTTTTCAGATGCCTCACATACCTCGAGTCTTTACGTCTTAAACTAAAGGTTATGCAAGTCTGTAACCTTAACTATTCATCAAATAAAAAATTGGACTTTTTGTTAAACAGACTGAATTAAACAAATCAAACTGTGTAAACTGTATGAACAAAATACTTCTCAACATATCAGAAGTGATTTGAACTATTTACACATTTTAGTGTCTGAGATAAGCGATGCATTTATGTGTCCTTAAGTTACACACAAAACAGAACGTTATGAAGTCTTCGATGAACCGAAGTTTGAAGACAAAGTAAAATAAAACTCCCAGCTTTCCACCTGTAAAGGAATGAAAACTCATGCCTTCAGTTTTTTAATTGATATTGTTCCAAAGAATGACAAACAAAATGACGCAGCTGCTGCCTGAAAGTATCTCCATCGGGTTACATTAATCTGCATTTAAAAATAGTGCTCAGTAGGTCAGAAGTTATGTGCTGATCAGTCCCTTGGGCCCTTTCTTTGACTTTAAAACTCCCCTTTGTTATCTCTGCCTGCAGCTTTTCAAGTGGTGTTGACGATCAGGTTAAACAGGAAGTTTGTTTACAACCTGTGACACTATGCATGCTTTGTTTGCATAACAGGTGTCAACAAGTCTGTCGGGAGAGGTAAATGTGTCAGAGGTGGAATTGAAGGGTGAAAGAATAAAAATATGGCCTACGTTGTCTATGAAGCTTTTTTTGTAAGAGTAGGTCACATTCATCCGAGTCTCTATCCGCTAGTTGTGAGTACTTACTCTGATCCAGCAGCCATATCTGAGTAAGACGTTTCAGGTGTGGTGACTCCCAGCGCGATTACTATGCTCATGACGTCCAGCACAGCGACGCGAGGGAGGGGGTAAGAGGGGGAAGGAGGGGGTGGGGGCGGGGAGGGACAGGATGGGATGGGGGAAGGGGAGGAGGAGAGGTGAGAAGAGGAATCACAGGGTCCCAAGTACAGCAGCAGACCACTCTAGAGGTGGGGCGCCGCGGAGCCGTAGCCCACGGCTGACGGTCATGGGGGGACCTGAGGAGAGAGAGAGAGAGAGAGAGAGAGGAGATAGAGAAACCATCAGACATCCGCACAGACACAACCAGGATACAGGCAACAAACAGGCTGCTGCATGACTCATCATGTCATGTGATGTGATGGAAAAAACCCACACTTCACTGGCAAGCACTGCGGTGTAAACATTTTGGATTGATTCCCCTGACAGCTGATCGTCTGAATAAAATCTGTCATCTTTAATTACATGATAAATATAGTGAACACTTGATTTAATTAAAATCATCTTAAGAAGTGAGCCTTTAACAAAAAACATTGATACCATGATGCAACCATGACAAAGCATCAGCAACCACATTTACACAATCAACTGTGAAAGACTTTTTTGTGGGGTCGGCAGAAGTTTAAAGGCTGTTTGACCTCCTCACTTACCAACGGGTCAATAAGGGAAAGACACTTAAACTTAAAGTGATCGAGCTGCCTTTCATTTCTTCTTTTACTGACTGTTTTGTAAGTGACGCAAGATCCTCAAACATTTTACAGGAAGACATGAAAGGTAGCAGGAAGGGAAGAGTTGTGAATAATAGTAGAGTACAGCAAATGATTTGCCAACCAGCACAATACCTGTGAGCTTGAAATTAAACCACAGTAGTTATTTGAAATGCTACAAAGCATGGTCCACCTTCAACAAGACAACAGGCTGTGATTAGCAGCACCGTCTGTTACCACAAAAAAAAACAGATGTGCAAATGTAGAAGGAACAGAGCGGGGTTGTCACCAAGTCAATCCAACAACAGAAGGTCACCTTGGAGACAGCAGTGTGACTTAAGTGAAGGGCAGTGTTATAAAAGGACAGGATATATGGCTAAATTCAAGGCCTGTTCTTTTTAATTATTTATACCAACTATTTAGAACCGAGCTGGGGTGGAGCGCTTTTAAGGTTTCTGCACATTTTGCTTGGAACAACGTGCAGTTATTATTATAATGCAAAACTTAGTTAATCTGAATGTTTTGAAATAATCCTTATTCATTATTTTTCTTATATGAAATGTGTACTGTATATGTTTGAGTGCTTTGATTTTAAAGTTTTATCTTTGGGTTTTGTATGCCTTTATTTGAGAGATAGGACAGTGGATAGAGTCAGAAATCAGGGAGAGAAAGAGTGGGGAATGACATGTGGGAATGGAGCCACAGGTGGGTTTTGAACCTTGGCCACCCGCTTGGAGGACAACAGCCTCCATAGTGGCGCGGGTGCACTAACCACTATGCTACCAGCGCCCTCCACTTTGAGTGCTTTTGTTGTTGAAATTGTGTGTTGCACATATTCTTGTCCAGGTCTCCCTTTAAAAATAGATCTCCCATCTCAATGGGACTGACCTGGCTAAATAAAAATAATACCAATTTAACAACCAAAATAACAATGCTTGACTTGTATGGTGGTAACGGTTTGACCATGTGCCGGGTTGCCAGTTAGGTTTTAAGCCTAACAATACTTAAGTCATGCAAGTCAGTATCTTTTATGAAAAAGCAAACTCTTCCAAGAAACCACACTGACATAACCAAAAAACACTAACCAATGAAGCATCACAAACAGTAAAATAAGTTTATATTTGTTATTTTTCCACACAAAAAAAGCAAGAGAGGAAAAAGAAAAGAGTTCCTTCTTGGAGAAAGTCCATACAAGGGAAAAAGGGAGCAAACAAAGACAATATATAAGATCCTATAATAGGGACACGAAACCCGTAGCATAGGTGACACACACGCACTGAAATGAGTATGTTAAAATATCAATCAAAGCACAAAAACCGATGAAAATAAAGATGTATGCATCATGAACGAAATGCAAAACACATCATGTAACTAACTACCACTAAGTAGTTGTTATAGTTACACAACATAAAACTGATACTGAATAAATGACTGGTCTGTTCAAGAATAGCAACAATCTGTCACATATAAACAAGCCCCGAAACACAATGTTAGTCTTAGTTGAACATTGACAGATGGTTATAAGGGCCATTAAACAGCTCCCCTACACAGGGAAAAACATCCTTCTCGCACGCCTAATAAAGACTAAAAATGTGCTGACTCATGTTGCCAACTACGGCTTACATGTGAGAAGCACTGATGAGAATTCATCTACGTCTAATAATACAACTTGATATGGACAAGATGTGTTAAGTCTGTGTCTCTTCCATACAGAGGGTCCAAGCATAGAGGGGAGGGGGCTATTCAAAGAGCAGAAAAACAACCAGGGGCTTTACAGCTCTGCTTACACTCAGCCTCACATAACTGTGCACTAAAACTAGGAACCAGCAGGGGGCGCCTTCCTCCCAGACGCCTGGAGGGGTGACTCATCCTACATCAGGCCCGACCCTCTTGTCATGTGACTGCTGAAACACTGACCCACACTCCTCTGCTTTCTCTCCAGCTCTTTCTTCCTTCTTCCCTGCTCGCTCACTCAGCCTCTCAGTCAGATACAGATGTTCAGACAGAAGAGCAGGCCTCCCTGTGCTCCATTCACATGCTCAGGAGGAGAGGTGTGGATTTTTAGAAAGGTTATCCCCAAGCAAACACATGCAGTTACGCTACCAAACAAACACTGACATGATCTGATTCACCACACTTCACCGTATAATAACCGCAGCCATTTTTCTCAGACACCCTCTTCGGTCTGAATGCAAAAACTAAAACAGTGTACTACTTTACTCCAGGTTTAAAAAATGGATAAACATAAATAATCTGGTAAATGTATTCTTCTAAGTAAATGCAACTGACATAACAATGGATCAGTGAAAATCAAGGCTGAGGCTATCTTTGGCAGTTGTCTACAGTAATAATAAGTATCAGACTGTTTCTCATAAATGTTCTTCTACCAGAATTTTCCCTATTTTATTGTGATGAATATCAACGTAACGATGTACGAGATTCCCAATATTTACACTTTGAAAATCTAGAAAACAGGAGAGCAGCTTCTTTCACGGCAAAATAGGAACCCTAACATTCAATCACGGGCTGTGTTACGTACAGAGCCACAACAAGCAGATGCATGACATTTCTGTACGGGCCCCATGGCTACAGCGACTGCTGCCCTCGCTCTCCGGCACCGAGGCAACCACAGTCAGGCCGGGGACTTCCAATAATGTCAAGGTCAGTTCAGCTGTGCTCACTGTCAAATGGAGAATGTCAGTCCCATCCAGCTGGACACACACTGGTAGGTAGCAACAGAAATGTCAGCTGGCAGCTGATTAACAAAGCAGAACTCAAATGAGAACATGAGACATGGAGGTGAATATAGACAGAGATTGGTTTTTCGATATGGGGTTAGGGTTTGTTCCTCTTTGAGTTCACAGATAAGACCAGCATGAAGGGGCATAAAGAGTTAATATGAATCTGTAAGATACTTAGATGTGATGGCATAGAGTGGATCCCATGGTGCCCCATCCAAAAACCACTGGTGGTTGGTTTATTATCCCTGTGGTTGATCACTGCCTCACAAAAATAGCCAACCCGCTCCTACCTAACTCACAAAGGGAGTCACTATTTGGGCCTCTTCCAAAAGAGCCAGACGGTGAACTAGGGAGGTAAATTCCATACGAAGAAGGAAAGCCTTTCTTCTACCTCGCTCCCTCCTCCTCCTCCTCCTCATCCTCATCCTCCTCCCCCCACCTCCCTCCTTTCCTTGTTCGTTCCTCTGGCCATGAATACCGGGCTCAAATTACCGGCAGAGCTCAACAAAGTCTTTTCACTTCCACTAGAACAGAGGCCATTTTGGAGACAAGTCCAAGGGGGAGGGACATACACACAAAATGAACAGCAAAACCTCTCTCTCCCTCTCCCCCTTATCATCTCTCACATTACCCTCCCTCCCCTCTTCCTTTTTTATTTTAAACAAACAACAGCTCTGGCATATGGGCATTGTACTGCTCTAAAACAAACTATTGGAGAATACTTAAATATCTTAATGCGTCTCTTGGGTATTAAATTGATCAGAGCAAATGCACAACACATGACAGGCACAGAACCTTGTACAGACAGATGTCTACTTTCAGTTTTATTCCTGTTAAATAACAAACTGAAGGAGATGTTTTATCAATCAACAGCATACCAGTAGGTACACCAAAAACAGAACATTTTAATATCTAATGATCCGAAACACAACAAAGAGCAGATTCTAAAGCATGTGTTTTGTACAGTTTCTGATATTTAGTCTAGAATTAGTTATTTTTTACTTTGCTGCTAAGGTGGCAAACTTGAGAAATTACAGATGTGTGTTATCTATGATGGCGCAAAATCATGATCAATTTCAAAAGCACAAAACAAGCAGGAAACCCAATAACAACTGTACAGCAAGTTAATGTGTCGGAAAGGAGATTGGGAAACTAAAGTCCCCATGAAACACAACTTTGAGAGTATCTAACTGCTGTGTCGTGACGTATTTCCAACAGAAAAGTCAAAGAACCAATCACAAGATAGAAGGCGAGACACAATGTTGAGATAAGGGTCTGACCGATATGGGATTTTTTGGGAGATACCGATACCAATATTAGGGATAAAATGTATTCTGTTACTGATTTATCGGTCAACATCTTTATAAAAAGTATATAAAAAAATATTTGAAAAATCTACATAGAATCAGCACATATCAGAAAAAAAGGAGCTAATAACGATAATCATGTGACATGCTAATATCAGCCTATATTATCGGCTGAGTTTGGATATATTTGAGTGGATTGTTTGCAACGACAAAGCTTCATAATTGGTGGAAATATTAGTAAACATCCCTGAGAGCAGAATGAGTAATCAGACATTTGAAATGTTTTACAGGAAGATAAAATAATTATTTTGATGTAAAAGTACTCAGACAATGAAATGTTTTCGGCAGATAAATGAACATTTTAAACAATAACGCTGGTTTAAAACTGTGAAACTTTATTTTTCATTTCAAACACAGTGTTAAAAAGAGTGTAGTTGGAAGACTGCTTTGTTTCTGGTTATTCACTGAGCTCTTGCATGGTATT